ACGTATGCAACATGCAGGAGTGCAAAGGGCGATGAGCCCGTGACCCCTGCGTCCTTAGGATGTAGACCAGCGTGATGACCTCTCTATTAAGCCAAGGTCGGGTTGTGGAGTATCGTTTGGCCGAGGCCGGGCATGACCCAATAAAGTGTGTCCGGCCGGAGTTAATGGAGCGTGGTGGGTAAGTTGGTGCACCCCTGCAGGGGACAAAACATCTATCGATAGCCTATCCTACGGTAATGGACACTTGGAGTTGTATCCCGATCGATACAACTAGAACTGGATACTTGAGATGAGAAATGGATAGTATGGCTCTGGGATTGCTTTCTCACAGGGAGTCGAGGAAGAATCTCTGGGCGAGGTTGATGATACTACTATTACTACTACTTTACTTTACGCTAGTCTGCACTCTTCTAATGCCGCAAGACCGCTGAAGATGCTAGTCTTTGATAGGACTAGGCGCTCCCCTCTATTCTGGCATTTTTGCAGGCCAGTCCACATATACAACCTTCCTTTCATAATGTTGCATGTGTAGTGTAGATCCTTGCTTGCTGAGTACTTCGGATGAGTACTCACATTTGCTTTGCTTTATCCCCCCCCCCATATCCGTCTGATGCAACCAGATGATGGAGCCCCGGAGACCGCTGCCACCGCCGACGACTATTACTACCCCGAGGGTGTCTACTACCACGTGAAGGATGCTGACGATCAGGAGTAGTTAGGAGGCTCCCAAGTAGGAGGCCTTGCCTTTTTGATCGTTGTTACTTTTGTGCTAGCCTTCTTAAGGCATACTTGTTTAACTTATGTCTGTACTCAGATATTGTTGCTTCTGCTGACTCATTTGTATTCGAGCCCTCGAGGCCCCTGGCTTGTAATATAAAGCTTGTATTATTTTAATTAAGTGTCTAGAGTTGTGTTGTGATATCTTCCCGTGAGTCCCTGATCTTGATCGTACACATTTTCCTGTATGATTAGTGTACGATTGAATCGGGGGCGTCACACCTAGATCAGATGAATTGTGGATTTATGATTAGCTTATCTATGAATATTATTTGAATCTTCTCTAAATTCTTATATGCATGATTTGATGTCTTTGCAAGTCTGTTTGAATTATCGGTTTGGTTTGGCCAACTAGATTGGTTCTTCTTGCAATAGGAGAAGTGCTTAGCTTTGGGTTCAATCTTGCGGTGTCCTTTCCCTGTGACAGTAGGGGCAGCAAGGCACATATTGTATTGTTGCCATCGAGGATAAAAAAATGGGGTTTTCATCATATTGCTTGAGTTAATTCCTCTGCATCATGTCATCTTACTTAATGCGTTACTCCGTTCTTTATGAACTTAATACTCTAGATGCATTCTGGATAGTGATCGATGTGTTGAGTAATAGTTGTAGATGACACGGGCGTGATGCCTATATTCATGATCATTGCGTTAGATATCGCCATAACTTTGCGCTTTTCTATCAATTGCTCGGCAGCAATTTGTTCACCCACCGTATTATTTTCTATCTTGATAGAAGCCTTTAGTGAAACCTATGGCCCCATGGGCCTTCATTTAATTTTATCTTTATATATTCTATCTTCTTTGACTCATTGATTATGTGTAGTTGCTTGAACTTGCTGCTACGCCTTGACAAATTACCATGTAGACACAATGTATAGGACCGGATGAGACTACCGGGTAGGATTATTATTTTCACAACAATATGTTGCTCTTTTATCGTCATGTTTAATGTTGGCATTATTTACTTTCTTATTTCCACCAAGTGCAAAATCCATATTGACCTTGTGAAAGTATAGTAATTGCTGACATTAGCATCAAACATAGGGTATCCTTACATGCGGATGATGTAGTGTTATCCACACATCCGATTAAGCGTGATTTGGTAGTAATCAAGGATGTTTTTGATATATTTGGGGAAACATCTCGGCTGCAAGTAAATCTACAAAAAAAGTATGATCATTCCCATTCGATGCTCTGCAGATGATCTGGGGAAATTTTTGCCTGCCCTCCCATTCCCGAGTGGGAATTTTTCATTTCGATACCCGGGGATGACTTTGGCCCCACACAACCTCTAAATGGTGGAGCTTCGGCAACTTATTGAACAAATAGCAAATCAGTTGAGCTATGGAAGGTGCGGTATGTTGACGGAGGTTGGAAGGATCATTCTAATCACATTCGTGCTGACCACAACAATTTATCATATGCTCTCTATGGATCTATCGCCGTGGATTTTTCATAATCCCAATAGATCCGCAGAAGTTCCTTATGAAAGGGCTTGTTGGATGCAAGAGGCAGTCACTGCAAGGTGGCCTGAGAGGTAGTTTGACGGCCAAACGAATTTGGCGGTCTAGGAATTCACATTCTACACGGGATCAATGTTGAGCTGCTAGTTCGCTGTAATTGGCTCTCCAGGGTTGACCCGGGTCACCCTTGGCATGGATTTCAAGTGTTAGTTTCCTCTTACGCACAACCATGTTCTTTGTTTCGACTGTTTGCACTATTGGCAATGGGCGCACCACTGTATTCTTGTTAGATAGATGGATTGCTGGAGATGGATGGATTGGTGGAGCCACAACAACGGAGATCGCACCTAACATTGTGCGTGTTGAGCCAATCTCCATTCAAGCGAACTGCTCAGTGCATAATGGTTTGCTGCTTGACAAGTGAATTGGCCAGATTAAAGCGCAATTTTTTATTGCCGTGATCATTCAATTATGGCTCCTGTGGGCGCATATTCAGGCTCAGGCGCGCAAGTTCTCGACATGATTCCTTTCACCGGACCTGAATAAAGGATGGCTCCTATTCAGCAAGGATCGCGTATCGCGCACTCTTCCACAATCTTATGCTGATGCCGGTTACTCAGGAGGTTTGGAGCTCTCACGCCCCGTCAAAGTTGAAGTTTTTTGCATGGCCGGTGCTTCACAACCACTGCTAGACTTCAGACCACCTCATAAGTAGGGGCCTGCCTCATCAGCCTTGCTGCCCCTCTTTGTCTACAAGCCCATGAAACATTGCATCATCTCCTAGTGCAATGCCCGTTCTTTTGAACAGTGTGGTTCTCTGTGCTTAGAGCTCGGGTCCGGGAGAGCCGCATCCCTATTCCTCAGGCCAATTTGGTTGAGTGACGGGCAGATGCAAGTGGGATTACACCTCAGCCACGGAGGAGCGAGCCGAGCTCACTCTTCATTTTAACCATACATTTGTTCCGGAAAGAGAGGAACAAGTGGGTATTTGATAACATCTTGGTAGCGCAAAGTGTCATCGCGGCGAAGATTGACAGCGGATAAAGGATTTGGTCACTTGCATGGCACTTCAAGGCCAATGTGGGTATATCCGTGGGTGCTCGGAGTAATCAGCTTTGAATTCTTCGTGTGTTGGTGGAAGTGGTGTGAGCTACATCAAGGGCTCTTGTCTTCTATTGTAACCTGCTATACTAAAACCTTTCTCTCTTAATGAAGCAAAGCATAATTCTCTTGCGCGTTTCGGCAAAAAAAATATGTGTAGTAATTGATAGGGATATTACCGGTATTTTGAGATGTATTTTACCCTTACTTCATACACGTTTTAACATTTTTTTGTACGTTGTACAACTACTGGTATATATATTTGTATCATATATACATATCTTTCAAAGGGATGAAAGTTAGCCGCCGGGAAGAACAGGCCGCTCCTGAAGCAAGTGGAAGCATCCAATGAATATCAACTTGGAATTAAACTACACCTACTACTAGTCGATCGATGTATGGAAAAAGCAAAGGCGAGGAACCTGGCAGCAGGTAATTAAGTGACCTGTCAGCATGCAGGCGCGCAAGTTGAGCCACTTGTGTTAGTTAATTAATCATCCACGTCAAATATGCCCCGCTCCTCGCTGTTGCTCTCATTTTTCTATGCCAAGTTGCCGGAGCCAACGATCGGTCGAGAGGCGACGGAGCGCAAGTTGGACGGACGGGCGCGCGGTAGGGAGGAGGCATCCACATCTTAATCAGAGGATCAAACGGAAAAACAAATGCTACTCGAGGGAGCATCGAGACGCGAGGAGAGGGACGTGATTGATTTAATCGCACGCAAGTTGAGCCCCAAGTGGCCTGAACTGCACCTTCCCGCTGAGCACCCCGGGACTATATTTTTCGTCTCAGAAACGTCCTTCTCCTATAGAGCGGACAAAATCGCCGTCATGCAAGTGGTCATCACACAGATTTCTTCGTGGATTCATAACATTTGCTCTATTCTGCATCATCGTTTATACATTGTCGTAGGAGAGATTATGGTTCATGCATCGGCCGCTTAGTTTAATTAATTTGGAGCATCTGCCGGCTCATATGATCATATGATCGAAGTGACCAAAGTTATCGGTCGATTGGTTGGCAATTGTACTGTAATGGCTAGATTAAGATTTCTATATAAGTACTCCCTCCGGAAAGAAATATAAGAGTGTTTAGATCTAAACATTCTTATATTTCTTTCCTGAGGGAGTATATATATATGTATGTGATGCAATAAATTGGTCATCTGACGACCAGCTAGGAGACACACATACCATACCATGGATCGAAAATTCACCATTATTTCTTGTGCTAGCTACCGATGCGTGTGCAGTTTAACAAGCTCGATCCACCATCATATATAACATTGTAGTTATTGTTCTTGATTAGCTATGCTCAACAGCACACAAGGGGTCGAAATCAATGAATATCCAATGTCGATGAATATACTTTGCGTGTACACGAGAACAGATCTATACCACATATATACAGAGAGCAACTCAAACATGTAGTGAATTTGAAGTCTATCAATGATACTTGTCATTCTTGAATCTTTGGACAAGGGAGGATAGGGGCATGCATCTCACAACAACGAGAAAAGAAGAAGAAGAAACGAGGTGGTCAAATGTGACGAAAAGAACCAGCAACTGGGGAGAAAAATGCTCACGCGCCGAAGAAACACACATCCATCCCGCCCGGGAAAAAAAGATCGATCGCATCCAGGGAGGTGGAGGAGGCCTCACGACACGGCGGCGAGCTTCTCGGCGGTCTTGGCCAGCGACTGGAGGTTGCACTTGACGATGGTGTCGATGAACACGCGGGTGTCCTCGATCGTGTTGCCCGCCGGCACGTCCACGACGTACGACTCCACGACGACGGTGGCGCTGGACGGCGCGGCCGGGGACGGGTGGACGGTGGTGACGGAGAGGTAGTTCTTGAGCCGGTGCTCGCCACCGACGACGCGGAAGCTGAGCACGTGGCTCTCGTCGTCCAGGATCTCGAGCCGCTCGCGGCTGGACGCCGCGGGAAGGCCCGACACGACGTGCACCTCGCGGAGCGTGCCCACGCCGCCGTCGCCGGCCACCAGGGCGCAGCTGCGCACGAACCGCTTGTACGCCTGCGGCTGGTCGAACCGGCGCACCACGGACCACACCGCCGCCGCGGGCGCCGCCACGTGCTGCACCACCGCGGAGCAGCACTGGCCGGACCCCGGCTCCGCGTGCTCGTGGTGCCGCGCCACCTCCGCCGGGACCTCGCAGTCGTGCTCCCTGCATCTCATCCCTGCCGTCCCGGCCGCGGCAACGACCGCCTCCGCGCCGCACCCCATGCCGACGCCGACGCCTGCTAGGACTCGGTGGTGGTGGTTGTGGTTGTGGTGCTGGATGCTGGGGCTGGACACCGGGATGCACGGCATGGTGCGTCGAGTCTCGGTGATCTCCCTGGCGCTCGCCGTCCTTTTCTTGCCGTGTGCTGGCCGGTGGAATATCTTTCGAAGGTAGGGTTGGGGAGGAGGCCGACGGGGGTAGAGGCGTATATATAATAGACACGAGCCAAGTTGCAACTTGTTCTTTTTTTAGAACGTGAGCCAACTTGCACAGGTTGCACATATGTATCTCCCACTTGTGTTTTCCAAATGTATACTTGCGTCTGCTCTTTGTTTTGTTAATTGATTGATTGTACTCTAAAGGTTTAAATTCCGGAGCAAATTGGCCAACTTGCATGGAGGAGGTTGTCCTTTGATCTGTTCAATTAATTGGTTTCCTTTTAATTTTGGAGCAAATTGGCCAACTTGCAGCAAGAGACCAGCCGGCCTCTTGCTTGTTTGATCTGCTCTCCATTATTACACTTGCTAATAAAGCGGACTAATCCACACCCACACAAACACCATGGTTAATGATTACTAAATTCCATTATTTCACCACATGCCACTGGGGTAATATCATTGCTTACCAGTTTTTTTTAAAAAGGAGGTTAAACCCCTGCCTCTGCATCAATCGATGCATGCAGCCATCTTTATTAATTATTGCACAAACGTCTGACAAGAACATACATCAATCCACCCGAAACCATCACTCACGCCTACAAACTTAATAATGGGGAGTGCTCTCACTCCCCATATCTAAAACCGGTGTCGTCGCCGATCCATCCACATAACGTATCGAGATCAACATTCGGTGCAGCCTACTAAAGCGCACATCACATGCACACGTTTTAGGAGCCGCCATCATCATTGGACCACTGACCCATCTTCAGGAGAGATCCGCATCATCCTTGCCAGTTCGGACATCCGTTGACGCCACCATGGCGCCTAACGGCGCCACCGCCCTGCGCTCATCCGTCAAACGCGAAGTCTTTGCAAGATCTGTCATGCGTAGCACTTGCCAATCAGGCATGACTCAGCGTAGCACCTGTCCGTCAGGCATGACTTGACAGCTCCAGTGAAGCTCCGTGCAAGACAAGGCCGCTCCACCTCCTGCCTCTGTCTTCCAGCACCGCTCCACAAATGATGCTCCCAAGAGAGAAACGGCACCGTAGTACCACCATCATCCGATCTGGAAGACCAGATCCTAGGGCTTCCCCGAAGCAGCACGAGTGGGTCGACAACAGTTACACGACGATGCCTTCATCAAGGTAACGGCGCAAAGCGCCGCCATCGCCCGCCAATGGCTCGGTTTTCACCGGCAACTATGTCTCCCCGATTCGTAGCTGGGACTATATGATGAAGCTCGAGATCCGACCACCCAGCCGCAGGCCGACCACATCTCGCGAAAGAGATGACCAACATCGTTGCTGCACCGGCCAGAACAGATCTGACCAGAGGTGTCGTCGATGCAACCACCAGGCCCTCCATGCCGCCGCGCCGATCCAAAGGTAGATGGCGCACCGCCGCCGCCCGAACAGGGCTGGTCGTCGCGCCTGCCGCCACGCTGCAGCCATCGATCGGATCGGGCGTGCCTCCATACGAATCGGGGCCCCGCACAATTCCAAAGACGCGGGAGAGAGGTGATGTCCTCCGCCACCGCCGTCGGCCCCCGGGCTTGGGCCAGCGGCGTCCCTCGGCGGCGGCGGAGGGAGGAGAGGAGGGAGTACGGGCTGACGGCGGCTAGGTTTTTAGGTGCCGCCCGAGTCGCCCTAGCGGCGGGCGACGCGGGGGCCCTTCGCTGGGTTGTTTCGCGATCTTGCTTACCAGCTACTCCCTCCGTTCCGATTTAGATGGATGTAGCTCAATACCGAGCGTGTTTGTCTCTCATCTAAATAAGAAATAACTATATCTCATCTAACTCCTACGCCGGCCAGTCGGGTTGCTTGGATCCGATTAACTCGAGATTATTTTTCTTGTTAACTAATGATACGAGTGGCCGGGCATACAATAGGGAGAGAGGCAAGTAATAAAGCAAGTTGGTTGCGATGAGGTTATCCCCCACTGTGCTGTGATGTGCTGTAGTTGCCCTGGATGCCCATTTCTTTCTCTATCGATCGTCCCTCTTGCCCTATCCCGCTGCTTTCCATCGTCGTGATCGCTCTCCTCTTTACAATTATTATTATGAGGGATCATTAGCAGCGGTATAATAATAGTTAAATGCTACATGGGGGCATGCCGCATGCAAGTTGGCACGGCCGTCGACCCGTGCTCGTGCCCCGCCCTTTTCTTCAGATGAAAGGACCACCGTATCACTTGTACTTCACATAATAATATACTACTACTAGCCAGTATATACTCACATCAGCATCAACGTACTTTAATTGTTTCTTAAGTGTGGATCACTGCACAAGAGAAAAGAGGCGTCTGAATTGCGTGTTTTCGCGCATCCAAGGGCATCTCTCGCCAACCCTGTCATACAACTCTCTAAACATTTTCAAAACTTTTTTTTCTCCAATACGCCAAGTCGGCGTATCATTGCATTGATAGATAGAAAGAATACAAGTTTAGTGGACACCTAGCTCGTACACAAGTAGGCGTGCCAGGTGTCCTCGTGAGCAGAAGAAGTGGGATGCTCGGCCCAGTTACAGTGGTTTACAACGCGTCAATTACAGCTTGGAGTCCTTTGGCGTCGGCCGAGGCCCAGGTGCGCACATCATCTTGAATCGAGGCGAACAACCGGCTAACCGAGGGTTGATGAAGGTCAAAGATGCAAGCATTGCGGTGCTTCCAGATGGCCCAGGTGACCAGAGGTACTAGGGACGCAAGGGCCTTCCGGAGCGAAACTGGGATGGAGCCGGTAGCATCGCGCCACCAGTCATAGAGGTTGAGA